GGAAGGAAGGAAGGAAGGAAGGAAGGAAGGAAGGAAGGAAGGAAGGAAGGAAGGAAAGGTGAATGGATGCTTTTGCCAATAGACAGTTGTCTCCAGTGGCTACAACTGGTTGGTCTCATGGGCACCAATCTCAGGCTTTCTGAGCCTTGACCCTGCTGGAACTTTTTTAGATATTGCTAGAGTTTTGTGCATAATTTGGAAAACAGCGGCAGAATATTTGTATTTGGAAGCATAAAAATTGAGCTTCTAAAATTCTCTGGTATGAAGGATAACTCATAGGGTTGCTATACTCAGGGAATATTAGGAGATCGACTAACTTGGTTGGCATCCCTTTAAGGAAAAGGTTGTAATCTTATCTCAGAAAATTCCTTGCTGGCTGTGGTCTTGGGTGTGTTGACATTGTTTCTGAAGTGTTTGGTGTAGGTCAAACTACTGTTCTCAGAAGGTTGGTGATAAACATCTTCAGAACACTGGTAATAGAAGCAGAACCTCTCTGCTATCTTTCTGCTGATAAGCTTGCAGAAGCTTTTCATTCACTAGACCCCTGTGATTCTATGTGGCTCTACTGAATCTAAGCCTTCAAGACTTATCATCAGCACGTCATGTCAGCAGAACTAGAGGCCTGGCCACATTAACTGTGCCTTGTGTTACCAGGCAAGACAGATGACTAAGATTTCTGTTCCATGGCACACCATGGCCTGGTTTTGAGATTCACAAATGCACATTTTGAATGACCATTTCTCTTCTCCTATTGTCATTTACTTCTGCTTTTTTTGCTTTCTGTGAAAATTAATGGCAAGAGTATAAAGTACAAATTAAAAACCAAGAGTAATCTCAATTCTGTTGTTTCAAGTTTGTTCCACTCAAACAACTGGAGCCATGCAACCATGGCCCAAGTAATGGGAATCTCAGAGCTGGAAGCAATGTAATTCATCAACTAGTTGATGTCCTGACTTGGGACAAGACCATTTCCAAGACACTTTAAATGCCTGGTTATAAAGGAATGTGGCATCATTTAGAT